GTATTGATAGATGATAATATTTATCTATCAATACATATTGTTGTATATTAATATGAAAACTTGTACTATACTTTATATATTAATCTGCACTGTCACCAATATATGTAAAATATATTGATTACAGTGGAGATCAATATATTTTACTTTGCATATAGTACAGTATAAGTTTTTATATTAATATAGTACATTGAGTTATTCTGTAATGTTAAGAGATGTATTTATATTTTCAGGCTTGAAGTTAGAACAAAGTTGTGGTGGAAGGATGAATTCAATGGATTCATTAGATTTTGGTACAAAAGTGATGGAAGGAACACTGGAAGATACGGAGCGTAAAGTCGATACTTTCATGCAGGTAAAGTAATAATAATATATTAAAAAATGCTCAGAATGTACTTGATCTTCATTACAGGATATACTATTTATATAAGGAAAATACTATACAACATAGGGTCGCTTCGTCTCAAGTTATTCAATTAATCAGTACACAACTGAATAATAGTAGTAATTTAGAAAAAATAAACATATTTAATATCACCATTTTGTAAAAAATTAGCATTGTTATTTATATCTAAATATATTTTATTTGTACTGCTAAATTAATATAAATATAATTAGGAGTGAAAATTAAAAATTATTGGTATAGGTAAAATTGCTTCTATCACTTTTATATTTCTAGCAAAAGGAATTATAATTCGTAGCTTTTTTTTGATCAGAATTTTATTCTGCAAATTTATTAAAAAATCATTTTCCGATAGAAACATTTTTTAAGCATTATTGAATGCTTCATTTTTGTTAGCATCCTTTTCGGTCATTCGTTCTTTTGCTAGAATTGAAGCAGAGAAAGACTTTTTATCGTCACTATAGTAGTAATGACCTAGCAGTCATTCTTCACTGATGACCTTCATTGCCTTATTCTTTTCCAGTATTTTAATTTCATTACTGATATCTACGTGTATTCTTTTTGAGTATAAAATATGCCGCATTGATTTTCTTACGAATAAAATTTGCATTTTATTACTGCAGTAACTGTATTCAGAGTATACTTTATACAGTGATAGGATCGTAGGTCAAAATTACGAGTTATAAAATCATTTATCTTGCAAATGTTTTGTCTTTTGCGTTACTTGTCTAGAAGATAGTAATTATGCGCAATTTTTTATTACCATTTCATTAACTTTATGCTAATTGAAATTGTACTAGTTATTTTACGAATAATTCTTACTTATACACAAACAAGTATGAAAAAATTTTATTTCAAAATGAAGCTTGTAGTTTGAATGAAGTATTCATAAAAACTGACATACATTCCAAGTATCTCGTGGCAGCGCTTATCAATGAAAATACTTTTCACAAACACTAAGTAGCGCGAATTGCAAAGATAAAAAATTGTGATGAATGTATGGGAAAATGAAAATATTGTAGAACAGTTCTGAATAGTACATTAATAGTTTCATAAATAATTTTAGCATATTTATGTGAAAGTAGCGAAACCGTAATTATTTCAAACCATTCAATCATTATTTTTTATCAGACAGATGAAAAAAGGCTAATAATATAGATATTAAGTTTTTTATAATGGGTCTGGGTGCTTTTGTTGATCAAAAGTTCAAAATGTTTGCAAGTTTCTTCTCACGTTTGCAGCTGATAATTTTCATTCGTTATCACTTGAATACTTATTGCTATCATCACATGACTGTACTGTACTCATAATTCTATGCATTTGTGGGCTGTTTACTGTTTTATGCTTCGAAATTTGTAACTTTGAGTTAGTTCATGTATTAATCTTTACCATTTTATTACTGAATTCAATAACAGTAAATCTGAAAGCAAAAAAGGGCGAGTTATTTTCTAATTTGTAGTTGACTAAATTTTACGAGTAAAATTATGTCTGAATTATTGTAGTAAATTGAAAACGTTTAGTTTTCGGTGTATGAATGGAATTTCTTAACGTCAAATTATATATGTAATCCGAGTCATTACCATTGTAATTGCGTACTTTCTATTGTGTTTTAATGTCGAAAAATACATAAAGTTAAGATGAGATTTGTATTTATATAAGTTTTAGTGGCGTTACAATATTAAGGTTTTTAGGTATTAGATCAATATTACTTGTTTACCGCGCGATCTGATGATTTCTATCAACTAATTGATTAAATAGTATATCTTGAAGTTTTGTTTCAAGCCTTAAAAAGTTGTCATTTTAAGGATGAAAAAAAAATTTGCCTGAGAATAATTGGCATTACCTTGAAATTAATGGTAGTTTTAGAGGAAAAAAGTCATGTTTGCCAGCAATATTTTAGTCTTTTAGAAGTTTTTCAATTAAAATTAATTCTACAGCATTTACATCTGTTGAAATAAATTCTTATCACATTAAAATTGCATTGTGCTATTTGTGCATTGTACAGAAACAAGCAAGTTATTAAGTGATTTAAAGTATTGCTCACTATTTTCAGTATTGCGCTAAGTGTGTTAAAATATAACTGCAAAGTTTAAATGTTATATACGTAAATTATGATTGAGAATTTAGCAATAATTAAGTTGAATACTTGTATCTGAGTGACAGTATACAAAGTTGGATGAGCAATAATAAAGACTCACTGTATAATTTTAGAATTAGTAAAGCAGAAGGTAGAAGTAGTTAAATTTTCAAATTCACTTAGCATTCTTAATATTTACTTTTAAGTGGGTTGTTAATTTGAAGATGTAGGTAGCTCCAATAGTAGTCTGAAATTTGATTTTTCATTCTTTTCGCTCTTCTTTATTATGTTGAAGAATAAGTCTTATTGGCGTATGCACAGTTAAGTATATAGAATCATAGCAGTTTTGGGACAAAATTGCTTGTATATTAGTTAGTAGTAAGTTTTTATTGAAGAAATAGTCTTCTGTATGATTAATTGTTATTAAAAGTAATCTTCAGTGTGATAAGTAAGAAGACTAGTATGTGCAACAAATTAGTTACTAGTAAGTAATATAATAGTAGTGAAATTGAAATGGAAATAAATGATTACTTGTTAGAACTGACCTAGTCTTACTTTATATTCTGGTTTTTATGCTTGCTATCTGTATTTGTATTTACTTGCTTGTTTGAGAAGGAATCTTGAGTTTGACTGATTATAAAACTGAACAATATATTGTTTTTACATAAATGTAACACAGTATAGTCGTTGAATTATGAATAGTTCGGTGTTAATTTTGCATTTTTGAATTAATGCAAAATTGGATTAAAGAATAGTGAATAAATTTGAATAAAACAGTTCTTATTTGAAAAATCTGTTCTGTATTGCAAGAAAATGGAGGCAAATTTAGGTTAAAACAGCATTAAATAGTAAGATAAACTAAGCAGTTGTAAATATATTTTTATAAAATTAAAAAATTTCAAATCAACAAATATGAATGAAAGGAAGATGAAAACTAATTCACAATTGAATATTTAATAATTAATATATCTTCTGTCTGTACATGTATGTATGTGTGTATGTATGTATGTATGTATGTATGTATATTTGTGTAGAAGGGAGCAAACGAATAATAGATCAATAATTGATGGAGTGATTTGTTAGAAATGAATTATTATTGCAAGTTTTAATAATAACCTTTTTATTTTTCTTTATATATAGGTTATTTTCATCTTCAGTGTTTAGTATTTGTAAAAGTTGGTTAATTGTTCAGGGCTGTGACAATCAGGAAAGTCCTAGTGCTAGTTCTGTGCATTCATCAATTTCACCCCCAATATCACTAATGCAAGATATTACAACAGCAACTTCTGCGACAAGTATTACCAGTCAGCAAATTTCTACAACTACTATTCCTATTACACTATCACAGATGTAAGCTATCATTTAGTACACACTTATTTGCTATTTTAGCTAATCTTTTATTGCTGGTAATAAAAATAGTACTGTTTAATATTAGTAGCAATAAAATATGCAGCTGAATTTGATTTTAGATGGAATGGATTGAAGATGGATATATCATATCATAGTTGATATGAAATTGCTGCATTGTTTTGAGCAATTTTGATGAATTAATGTAATGACAAAAGTAATTGTTATTAACATTAATATTGCCTACTTGTCCTCAATTTCAATGCATTATTATTGCAGTAAACGAATTAGTTACTTTTCTTCTTAATATGAAATTTTTCAAAATTGCACACTATAAAAATAAAAATTGTACTGTATTTCATGAGCTGTTGCTCTTATCTACAATTTTTCATTCAGCTTAAATTTCAAATAGAGTTGAATTTATCTGTATTTGAAAAATAACTTTTAATTTCTTCATTTCTGATTGTTGATTTAAATTTTTGAAACCTATTAACAAAGTGTAAAGTACAAAGTTTCAAAAAATTTTGATGCAAATTTTAATTGATCTTGATTTATTTGATTTTTTTTCAGTGACTTAAATTTCAACATTTTATATGCTATTAAAAAATGTAATATAAATAACAAAGTTATTTTTATTTAAACTTGAAATTATATTCTTTTATTTTCATAAATTATATTTGCATTTTCTTGATACTATCGTTTGATTTGGTATATTTTTATTTTATTTTAAGCAAAAAATTTTTTAGGTGCACACCATCAGCAACTCCTATTGGTGGTCATCAAATTTTGGTTGACCCAGCTACTGGTCAACACTTTTTGTTGTCTTCTGCTCCGGCACCACCTCCGCCACCTACACCACATCCACACATTATCTATCAACCTGTTTATTACTCTGCTACTCCGGCTCAGCCGGTCTATTATCATGCTTTTCCCTCTGGAACTCATGGTTAGATTATCACAACATCATAATATTATTGCATTGTTGCTTATATCGCATGCAAGGGTTATTAGAAATTAGATTTATCAACTATAAAGGAAATTTTATTTCTTGTAACACTTTGCTGTATTTATGTGGTACTTTACGTATATTAAGATTTTATGAATACAGTAAAAAGTTGACATATAACTTGAAATTCAAGGTGCTTATGTTGTCGCCGCTACTCCAATCTCTGGTACACAAAGTGGAATTCAAATGACTCCATCACATATGACACTTGGACAGCGATTTTCTTCTAGTCCTCCAGCAATGTCAACCGCTCAAAGTACCGTTGGGGGTTTCACACGTGGTGTTGCTGATTTTGATGACACGAGGTGCATCTAATTTTTTTTAACATTTAATGGTCTATATTTATTTAAATAATTTGATAAGTTTGACAAAATTTATGCAAATCGTTGCTTAACATAATGTCTTCTAGTGAAATTAGTTTGACAGAGTCAACAAAATCATTTATGGATAAATCAGTTTAGCAATGATTAAAAAAAAAAATATTTGTCTAGACTGGTAGCTTATTTCTAGATCAGTGGTCACTACAGATGAAAGACATACAGCTTTCCAAAGTTCGTTAGGACCAGCTGCAAGAAATATGAGTCGTGCAATAGATCTAAAACAGATAATTAATTCAAAAACCTGTAACAATTTTTTTAATCATTTTTATCTTTCTGTCAGATTAGAGTGATTTCAATTTTTTTTGTTTATCTCATGAAGTCTATTTACTAACCATTTCTTGCTCTCATTTATTCACTTATTTTTTTAGCTACATCTCTACCTTTATCAGCATCCAATACAAAAAACTGTTCAGTATTTGATAATTCAACGACTGTTGTTGTATCATCAAATAATTCGCAAAAAACTCCTACACAAATGCACCCACAAGAGAATATCACATATCAGCAAATGAATAATAAGCAAGCATTAGTGACCGATGTTACTGGACATGTAAGTTTGAAATGTTTTTTTAGACATTTGATTTAGTTTGTATGTGTTAAAATTTTTAATTACATAGAGTATGTACGATATAAGAAGAATTTGTTCGGTTTATTTTGCATCCTTCATATCATGGTAGTAAAAGAAGTTTCGAATAATTTTGGATTTGTTTCTGTTGAATGATCCAAATTCCATTTATTTTTGGATGCAAGTTAAAAGATATTTTGTTTTCATAAGGCTGTACCAGAAGAAGGTGAAAGGACACCACTGTTTGGTGCTGCTCCATCATGGTGGGGTGAAGATGGTACTAGCAGTCAGCAAGTTCAGAATGATAGTGATAATATAAAGTAAGCTATTACTTATATATTTTATTTGTAATTACTCCTGTACTCGCATTTAATTTCTATCGTTTCTTTCTTTCTTTTAATTTGCGTTATGTTTTGCCTTATATTTTAGTTTGCTTTGCTGATTTGACGTTTATTTCTAGCTTTATAGCATTGAAATAATTTTTACATCCATGTTAGGTTGCCTAATTTGGAGATTAGTAATTCATCAAAAGTCGCTGTTCCTATTATTTCTTATCATCCATCTTTATCGGATACAGAAGTACTGAAGATCAATCGTTTAAAAGTTGATGGGTGAGTGAGTACTTCAAGTTATCTCTATCCTTTTGTTGGCTGGCTTATAATATGTGTATTGTCATTTTCATTCAAAATCGCATGTTGCTTTTATTTGTATAATTATTTGCAGGTCTTAAATTTGTTTTTCTAGCTTTTATCAAACATTAAATACGAGTTCTATTTTTGGTTTGTTTTTAGAGTTACAAAAACTACTGATAGTACTCATCGTCCTTTGAAGTCGATTAGAATGGATATTGACCTAAGTGAACCATTTATCGATGAAGAGATAAAAAAAGAAGAAAAAACAAAAGGTGTTTGGATAAGAATTAAATTAGATCATTGTTTAGTTCTCAGTAATTCTATTATAATTATTATTGATTTGATATTTGCCCTACTCATCAGTATTGTTAGAAACGTGATAGTTTCATTAAAGTTTGAAAATTTGCAGTAACGTCACGTGCATCATGTGGCACTGCATTTACAGTTTCATTTGATAATGAAGAAGGTTCACCAAAAGCGAACATCTCTTTACAAGATGCTGCGAAAAAAACTTCATCTAGGTTAGCATAAGTGTATTGATATATTTTGACTTGTTAGTTGTAATTTATGCATAATGTAGATTTTAAATTATGTAAATTTTTGATTTTAAGCTGGTACAGTCGATTATTCTTCATAGGATTTTGATCAATTTGTACGTCATATTCATAGAATCAGTAAATTTGTTCTAGTAAATAATTATTTAAAATACTTTATTCTCAGGCGCTTTATGAGAAGAAGTATGCCAAGAGCTGGAATGGTCCCTAAGGGTACTGCTGCGAAAATAGCAGGTTTAACTGCTGCATCAAGTGATCCTAAGCAATATTTGCTGAATAAAATGCTGATGGGAGTTGCAGAGGGTATTTAAATTTAATTCACATAGTTACCAAATTTACGTGGATAATAATTACTTTTAATAAAGTATGTTTCTAGCAATTAAGAAGTTGCGATTTTAGTTTTTGATTACAGTTTTTTATTTCATTCAAGTTTGAGTATGAAGAAATGTTGCAAAGAAAGATTTCTTAGGATTTGTTTAATTTTAAGAAGCAACTTTAACGATTTATTTTTTCAAAAGGTTGAAATCAACCTTGTTGGTTTTGTAGAAGGTTGTGAAGGGAACGACTTGATGCAGTCATCTACACGTGAAGAGGGTAAATTGGATACTGATGATACATTGAGTGAAGCGGGAACCTATATTGTTGGTAAGTAGTAATTATATACACTTGATGGAAACGTTAAAGCTTTTCAAAATCAGTAGTCACCAAGTCTAGAATGATAATGAATCTGTATCTACTTTTGGCTATTTTTTCACTGATTTACATAAGATGATTTCAATGAGTTTTATGTGTATACTAAAATTTTTTTTATTTTTTATGGATTGTTTAATTAGTTGCGACTACATGAGATATATTTAATCACATTGTCAACTAATGTAACCTTGAAGGAGAATTTTTATAGAGCATTTTGCACACTAGCGCATAAAATCTGAATTTTTTTATTTTTTACTAGTTTTTATGTTATGATAGATTTAAATTTTAGAAGATGGCGATCGTCCTAGTAAGTTGATTGTTCCTCAGACTATCAAAGACTCAGATGCAGAAAGTGTTTCTAGGTAACTCTTCGTAAATTTAATTTAATTTTTTAATATTCTTTTCTTTAATTTTTATTAAAGTCTGTTGTTAATTTTTGAATACTTTCAGTGAATCAACATCAACGGAAAGCACAGATAATTCTCATTCTGTGGCTTCTGCACGTATGGGACAGGTTAATGAGTTTTCTGAAATTTTCAAGACTGAAATAATTATTGTTTGTAGCTAGTAAATTTTTTAAAATCTTTTCGATTAAAAGCATTGATTCATAATCAACTCTTAATTTGAATTTTGTTGTTTCTTAAATGGTCATGGTCTGAATTTATTGAAAGTTACTACTATTGCTATTCTCAGGTTTTGCCCCAGATCAGTGAGAATGTAGTCACTGTTGAAGATACCAAGGATAAGAATGAGAATCTGCTGCGTGAGTTATTACGAATGAGTTCTGAGCGTGTTGGTCATTGTCGTGGTATGAGCGAACGTCATGTTGCACCATCGACACCTTGTCGTTCCGGTTCATCACGTCTGTCAACTGCATCAGGAATTCGTGCCCGAGTACAGCATCGTTCAGACAATTCTGGATCTGAAGAACGTCATTATAGTTCACATCGACTGTGTACTGTAGAGTCATCGTCACGTACGCCAATTTCATCCGTGGTACGCCGTGCACAACCAGTCGCTGGTGCAAGTTGTACTAATGAAAATAATTTCAGGTATCTTTCATTTTCGCTTAACGAACCTTTGCTGCTTTGGTATTTCTTCCACATATATTTTTTTCTGCTTAGAAATGAGTTTTAAAAAGTATTGTTTGGTTATTTATTCTAATATTAAAGTTTAGGACAGATGTTCAAACATTTTTATAGATAGTGCAGAGGTCAAAAGGAAGTGCTCTGTTTTTTTGGGAAATTCAATTCACGTTTCTTAATCATAACATTTTATTCACAAATCCAGTATTGAGTTTGAATTCTGAGAAATAATTCAGTGTTCTAATACTGTGGGAAAAAATGATGAGATATATTTTGTTTCAGTTAGTTTTATCTTATTTTTTGCAAAAGTTTGTAATGAAAATTATTTCTGTTAGAAATCAGAACATCTTTTGCGTCATAGATGTAAATTATCTGCTTTAATTTTTTGCGTTGCTAACGTAATGTAGCTTTGAAATGAATTTTTTGATCTTCTGGCTAGATAAGTGTGAACTGCTTGCCATCTGATTGGAAACGTGACATGCGATGTAATGACTTCCTGTCACAATGCTTTTAAGCCGTCTGAAGTGTATAGAAATTAGGTTAATATCGTTAATACATTTCTGATTTTCATTTCATATTTAACTAATTAGATATTTAATATAACTCTAATTTGAAGGTCTTACTTAATATTTTTAAACTTTTATATTCCTAATGTATTTGCTCAAATTATTATTTTTTGAAATTGAATTGTAAAAATCAATTTAATCTTCAAATATTTTTTAACGAATGATTATATGTTTTTGTGACTAAAATTACTGTCAGGGAATTATAAGAAGAAAATTCCAACTATATTCTTATAAAACTCTGGCAAATTTGTTTTGAAAATTTTTGAAAATGCAGAAACTTATTTAATTAATTATTAATTTATTGAATTTTTTCAAACAGGCCGACAAGATGTCGCAGTGAAACGTGAGCTTTTTTATTGCTCTGTTTTAGTGATATGCATGTAACTGATCTTTTGACTGATTTGTTAAGAACGAGTATTAATTTTGTGCAATAACAAATTTAATCAATTATTTACTTGATTTAGAAGGATCAAGAATGATAGTAGAGTAATTTGATCTCATAAAAAGAAAACTGTGGAGTGAAAGGCAAGGAAAATTGTCGTTGTGTTGTAATACTTTATTGTTATTAGTTATATTTGTCAATAGTCGTTGTAAGTTATGCATGCTGTGAAAATAATACTTTATTTACCATAAATTATTTATTATAATTGAAATCACAAATTTTTAAAATTTGCATGTGATGTGGTGTGTAGTATTAATTAGACAGCAGTGTTCACCTGCTCATATTATTTGATCGTTTACTTGTTATTATTGGTTCATTTTTCTGCAAGATTTAAAATGGTTTGTAAGAATTGATGTTAAATTAGATTAATTCAACTATTTCAATAAAAACTAGTAGTTTTGTTTTTATGAAAAATTTGGGGACTATTTTATGGTGAAGTTCGTTTTGCTTATACTTTTATAAAATGCACATATTAAGACGGAATATTTTGTCTGCACTAATTTTATTAGGCAGTTTATTTGTGTACTGCTTGGATATCGATGTGGTGATTGTGTATGAAGTTTTTATCACTATTTATCGTGAAGGTTGATTTATATCAGTACAGTTATCTCACAGAATCTATTGAAATTCTCCTTTTAAGATAATTCATGCAAAATGTGAGTACCTTTTTATTGGTATAAATAATTAATTTTGATGTTATTTAGGCGCGGTGATGGTGGACGATTTTCAATGCGTTTTTCTGGTCTTACAGCAAAGGTTCAGCCAGCAAGTACAGCATCTAGTCGAAACGATCGGCCACCATTTCGTGTTGGAGGCATTGGGAGTAGAAGTCAGGTAGTCGTATTTTAACGTTTCTTACAACTAAATTCAATTTAGTTGTTCGTTCATCAAAGAATTCAGAATATACAGTGTTAAGGTTATACAATTATATTTTTTTGTTACTTTCATTTTAATTTTTTATGCTAGAAGAAATTTAACTTATTACGGATACGGATAATGAAGATGTAATTAAACTCATGCCTGCATTTATTGTTTAGTGTTACTGGTCTGGGTACAGATTATGGTTTCTTGATTATTTAGTAACACATTACTATGCAGTTATCGTAAAGGAGAGATGCTTAAATTATGAATTTACTGGTTAAAATTATAGACTAATCTAGTTGAGTTAGTTCTATTCGCATTATATTTTGCTCTGCAGGCACTGCTTGTTTTTGATTATATACTAATTTACGTCACTTTATCAAAAGGAAAGCTAAATAAATATTTGTTTCTAAAAATCTGTACATTTTATTTAGTTGCTTTGAATTTTACATAAATAATGCTTATTTCTGAAGGTTAATGGAGGAAGCGTAAGTGTGCATAAAGAAAGCGCTGAAATGACTGCTTGGTTAAGGCGTAAAGATTACAATCCCATGAAAGCTGCAGCAGAAGCAAAGAAGCTTCAGCAATTGAAAGCACGGTAAATACTCGCTATTTAAATATCAGTTATTATAAAATTTTTGTAATTTTCTTCTAGTTACAACATCTGTTTATGAATGGAGAAACTTTAAGCAGGAAAAAATTAGTATTTTTCCATTTTATCAAGCTGAAAATTTTGTTTACATTTTAACCAAAAGCTTCATTTTTGGCATCCATACATTGCTGTATTTATGTTAGCTTGCAAAATATTTCTCACGACTGTCAGAATTCTCAACAGGAGTAAGATTTTTCCTTTTCAAAGTTTTATCACTGTCAAGTTCCATTTTTGTTGTCATATCCGCATGGTCGATTACAGTATGTATTAAAATTGAAATGCTGATGGAAATTTTAGTGTGTTTTTGATAATTGAGTATACATTTTTCAAATAATTGTTTCTTCTTTTATAGCTCTTTATTCTGAATTTTGAACATTCACTGTTTTTGGAGCTATTGTGTGTCAGCTTTAATACTGAAATTTATTTAAAAAAACATTATTATATAATTTAGTGAAAGTGATTAGACTGACACTAAGTTTCCATCAGTGTTTGAAATCTAACTGAATAATTATAAGACATATCGTAGTATGATATTGTTTCTAATACAGTCAAACTATTACGCATTGTTTTTATCCAAATTTTAGAAGTATTCTTCAGTTAAAAAACAATTGGGAATGCTGAAAATTAATAATTTATGTACTGCTTGAAATATCACGCAGTGTCTTAATTATATATTTTTCTTCTTCGTAGCATAATTTTGTGTTGTAACTGTTGTGGTTTTTTTGTACTGATTGTATCTTAAAAAGATTCAAATAATTATGTTTTAAGTTTTATTTCAGAGCTGACAAATTTGTTTCAAATCGTTCAGTATCATTCCATCAGGGAGCTAAACCATTTGCTACTTTTTCACCGGTAATTCGTAATAAATGAATAAATTAATTTTTAAATTTTTTTATCTAATTTCATCTTTCACGGTATAAAGCAGTAGAGTAAGACATAGTTTTGCTATTTACACATGTGCTAGTTTCAAGGTAAGATATATTTACTCTTAGGTATGATGGATTTGAGTAATTTTAAGTATTTTTCTAATGTTTTCAGTTTATAGACTGTTCGGAGTTTAAATGATCCTCGTCATAACCGGTCGCAAGACGACTTATCAGTTGATGAAGCGATTTGTGGTCCTGAAACAATTCTTGCTAGTTATTCAAAAGGTATAACTAGAGATCTTAACAAATTACGCTCTGCTGAAGTTGAACAAGATAAGGTTTGCTATTTTTATTAGTTATTTTTGTTTCCCTTATGGTCTTTTAAACTAACATCTTCTTGCATTATTTTTGAATCTAGAGGATATTTACACTCGGATCATTATATCTGTTTTTTATTTTGTGGAGATAAAGAGAAAAGAGTCAAAGGCTTAGGATTCTATAAGCAGATTCATACGAAAACTGAGAATACAAATTAAGATTTTACTTTAACTGTTATACTTTTAGACTCAGGTTATTGGTCTCGAAAATGCCGTGCAGCAGCTCACTATGAAGTGTAATCGTAGTATCGAGTTAATACGGTAAAACTAGTTTGTTTTATGATATTTTGGAAGTGTTAAAATTGAATTCTTTTTTTTTCAGGAATTCTCATCAAGGACATTTGTCAGACTCTGTAGAAAACTTATTGGAAATAGCAATTAAACCAGTGAAAGATTGTACGGGAACGGTAACTGATCAGTTGGATCGATTGTCAGCAGCATTTGATGCTATACAGAAATATTTAGAAGTATGTTAATATTAAATCGTCCATTTTCATTTAAATTGCAGTTGAAAGAGTACGTTTGTCGTAGCTTATTTTCAATAATATCTGATCAGTTTCTTTCTACATAATTAATATAAGTGTGCTAAATTATAGGTATTGACCAATAAAGAGCTATTTTAATACACTATCCTCATGGGTTCAGCTACTGTAAGTAATTTAGTGTCTTGAGATTAAAAAATTGAACTTCATTTGATTTGGCACATTATTACATTGGAATTTATTTACGAGGTATTAAATTTAATGTGATTTATATGACTTGTTCCGTATTTGAAAAATCGATATTGTAGTTAGTGATGCAAAAATTCAAATTTTAATTTGTAGGAAATAATTTTTAGTCATTTTGGAAGCAGTGAAAGCAAGTAGACACGAGCTATAGAAGCTTTATTGGCATTGTTCTACTTTAGGCAAACTTAAGTTATACATCTAAATAAGCGTGTAGACCGTAACATCGAACATAGCATATTTATATGAATGAAAAACAGTTGTGTGATGTACTATGAGAGGAAGTGAGTATTGTTGTTACGACTAATAGTTTTAATTTCAGATCTCTTCAGCATCGTTGCCAGCATCACCCTCTGGTTCTAGTCCAACAGCATCGGTTACAGCACTTTCGTCGACGTCTCCTAGTCGACGACCTTGCAGCGCATACCAAAGTAAGCTTGCTGCAGCCAAGCGAAGTCCGTCTGGTGGTCAGAAAATTGTATAATTTGAGAAAATTCCTGCACCTATTCATTGCATGAATTACGATGACTATACTGTTATCGTTAAACTGAAAATATCATTGTTTGTAAATTACATTGTCTTTTGCAACACGTGTAAATTATCATTTTTAGGCTTTATTCAATTTATTAATATAACAAGAGTAATAAAAGATGCATGAAATGAAAATATGTGCAGATCCATCCTGACATCCATCAAAAGAAATTTGAATTCCGAATGTTCCGTATTTATTGTGCCATACTTTTTAAAATAATCAAGAATTAGCTATAAAACGCAAAATATCTATTTAATGAAATGAGCTTAGATGAAAACTTCTGTTTCTTAAATCTTTTTTTCTGTACTCATTTTTTTATCCTTCGCTTGAAGTGTGATGCGAAATGTAAGCATCTACTGAAATTTGCAAGTTTTTCTCTCATATTCACTAGTCTTTTTGCGTTACAGTAAATCTTTTTTCGTTATTTTTGCTATTTTGTAAATTATTTCTATTCTTAATAAACTGCTATTGAAGTTTTTTGTTATCGAAGTCACTGAGGAAATAATGTACTCTAGCAAAGTGATATACATCACTGGAAAACAAATTCTAACCAACGCTTTCCATCCGTTTTTCTACGACCAACGCATATTTCATAGGAAGATTTTTTGCATACCGGTTTTGTTGTTAAAATGGATGAAAAATCTTTATACGAACAACTGCAAAAGTCTTTGCAAATTCATATTCTTACAAAATATTTTAAACATCTTCCTTTTTTGCCCGACGAAAGTACTAATGTAAGCAGTTTTCAGCGTCTCAAAATGTAAATTAAGTGAGAATTTATTTATAAATGTGCATGCAAGCCACAACATTTGGTGAAGTCTTTGAAATTTTCATGATACATCTTATCCTACTCAAGTAACTAACCACATTACATTTTCAATGACTGTAATATCAAGTTATATTTGTATAGAAGAAGTTCTCACAAACATGTCGTAAAAGCATGCAGCACTGTTACCGCAAACATTAAGAATAGATATCTCAGTTTTACTATTCACGCCAGTGGTACTTCCGGAAGGCTTTCACTTGAATTCGTTATCAACCTTCTGCGCAAAGAACATTTAATTTGAAGTAATGTGTGCATGCGTTCTGTAAAGCAAAAATCAGAAGATGCAGCACACACACTCAAACACTATAAAAGAAAATTTTTAAAAATAGTAAGAGGAATACAAAAAACTTTTGGAATGCAACGAACTAACTTTTAAACACTGTCTTCAGAGTTCTATAGATTAATGTCTTCATAGGCATATATCGCTATTAATGAGAGGAACACTGACTGAATTGTATTAGTTTCTCAACATTGAACACAAACAATCTATTTTCTTGCATAACGATGACCCAACTAATCGGTCATAATTTAGAATCAAAAATTCTCCTGGTCTTTCAGCAGATGCTGGTTTATTAGGTGAGCATTTTCGAACTTTAATCGTAGGTGGCTTTTTCAGATGGAACTGCATGAAGATTGCACTTAAAAATTTTAAATAGGTGAAAAAAAGTAGAATTACACGCTTGATTATTAAAAACAAAATACTCAAATTTTTGCATTTACTATAAAAGGTACTTTTTTTATCATCTTTGTAATGAAATTCACAATTTATCATCTCTACATGAATTTTACAAAAGTCAAAAATTTTAAAAAGGCAAAAATTAGGTTTTATAAAACTGTACCGAGTAGCACTTTGGTTACATATATAAACAGTTGGACTAGGCTCGGCTTGATCATCCATTGCATTGATATTTGCATGTAATACTTGCCACTGCCACAGCTTGCTGGCTATCATCGCTACTGTGTTCAACATATAATTACATATCTGAAGTTGAATCTCCGTGCCAAAAAGTATTTGAAAAATAAAATTTACAAGTCATACACAAATCTGGTTTTTGTTCATATTATAATGAATAGAGTTTTTTCAAATAATTCAAATTGAAAGACAACATTACCAGCATGTCAATAGTATACACAAGCATTTCATCATCTCTTCTACATTCAATAATTTGACCTTCTTTCGTGGCAATATGAAAATCTTCTGCATTGATTCGAATGTAAAATGTTGTCCTCAAAATAGTTTTTTGACTCAAATTAAATGCTGATGGAAAAGACAAATGAAATAATGACGAAAAACAAAAATCAGTATCGCAATTAAGAATTCCAATTCGTTTAATAATTAAATACATACTTGCCAGCATAGTCGTAGTTTCGATTAGAAGCTGAAACAATAATTGATGATTGTACAGGTGTAGCACGAAGCCACTTCCACGTAAGCTGCAATAATGCGATGTGTACCATATATATTAAATAAAAATTATTTGCAGTAAATATCAAAAATACCTGAGGATCCGTAACACGAAGTAAATAATGTTTCAGCGACTTCGTTACTCTATTCACTAAAACATAGTGTGATGCAAGAGACAACAATCTCTCCAATAAGCTGTATTTTCGTTTTAAGCGCGATCCGATCTAAAAGTTTGAGTTTCCTATATGCAATCACATAATATAACCACTTTAAAAGATTGTAACTATTTTAAAAGTGACATTTTAAATTTTCTATTAATCATACGAGAATATGTACTTTCGGTTCAATATCCAAGAATAATTTATTATCCAGTTTTTAAGACATTTACAAACATATGCAAAAATTTACAAACAAATGAGTAATTTTTAAATATAGGCATATTTTCATTGCTGTCCGAATCCTTAAAAAACTGCCATATAAATATGATTTGCTTATAAACGTATTCAGAGCACTGTGATATATCTTACTTAATAAAGCTAGTCTTATAGCTTCTGCATAAACTCTTTCATTGTTTTTAATAATAACGCTTGTTAGTTTTATAGCTTAACTGCCTTTAACTGATTAAAACATACTTCTTCATCGGTCATGGCATAGGGTCCTCGTAAATCAAGAGTGCTTGGAAGAATTGACAATGGCATAGCTACAAAAGTTTGGTGACGTACATCTCGAGCACACAGATCACTTAAAAATAATTGGCGGAGAGCACGGTTTAAATAATCATCACCACATACTGGTAAAGGGCCTGAAAGCTATTTCAAATATAAAAAGTTTTCCGAAAAACAAATAAAAACAATTAGCAATGAAAGTGTACGTTTTTAAGTTATTTTGTAACGAAAATTCTCAGAATTTTCGATATTAAAAAATAAACTGAAGATTTTACCATCTTCAAATGGATGATAAGCTAATTCAACTCGTAGCAGAATATTATCAAATAATGAAGCTATTAATACGCCATCACGAATTACTGTTATATGATCTTTAAGAATAACAGCATCTTGACACAGCTGCAAAACAATGAAAAGAATTATTTACAAAGATTATAAGTTATCAAACTTTACTTTTTAACACTGGATTTTCGATTAAACAAAAATGAAACTTTTTAATTCAGTAATTAAAAGGCTGCAATAAGTATGAAAAAATATTCAAATAAGGGAAAACTCATCTTAATTCGTGTTTTGACATACTAAATATACAAAAAAAACTTCAAAATTATAAACAAACTGTTTTGAAGATATCTTTAGATAACAAAGTTTCTTGTGCCCATTGCAATGCCTTCCAAGAATCCACTCTTTGGGCCTGCTCTCTATCAACTTTCATGTAATCCAAATCATTATCAGTAGTAGCAAATAAACTCTTCGAGTCATCATCGTCTAAATTAAGAAACAAACATGGAATGCGAGTAACAAGATTTAAAAATTTCCAGTTTTAATTAAGTCTGGTATTGTTCGAAGCATGATATCAAATCTTTTCCGGAAATAGATAACGAAAACAACCAATTTGTCCTCTAATGCTAGAAAACTAAGGCTTCTATTAAATAGAGTCCTTACACACAAGAAATAAAAATTAAACGGACCAATTTCTATAGAAACAGCAATAGTTGATCGACGAATCAAATCGCATGGTATCTGTACCTGAAGACACGATTCTGGTTGCGCTGATGGACTTGTATTATTCTTAACAAGTGGTACCGTTCGACGCGTGATATCAAATAACTCTTTCGGATTATATTTCGATCCGACTGAAACTTTGAATTAAATATAATTTTAACATCCTCGCGTTAAATTTTGAAAATGCGTCCGAAGTAGAAACTAACATATTTACAGAAAAATTTACGAAAAATTGAATATGAGCATAACGAATGAGCAAAAAAATCAAAAATTGAAATTTCAAAAGAGATAAAAGTGGTATTAAAGATTTATAGCACTGACATATTTTATATCCGAGATCACCGTAAGTAATATTTCCAGTTTTTCTCACTCTCCATAATTCCCTCATCTTTCCTAATTCTCGGAAAAACTGCTCTTTACTGGGATCTATTTCAGCAATAAGCTTTGCACGCATCTTTTGAGCTTGTTCAAGAACGTTGATCGCTTCCCCAAGAGCTTTTCGACGAGTAACCCAATGAAATTGCTTAGACTGTTGAATCGTATCTTGTACATTATGCTGTACTTCGAATGCATCAGCAACTGTAAGAGCTTCCAAATATGGCATCTTCAGAATGGAAATCGTATCAACCAGAACATTTATTTGCTGCAACGCTTCACTGCAATTAAATGAATTTTGTCCTCCGCTTTAAAAGTTTATGAAATTTCATGGGATTATTCGACATTTATGTTAACTATATTTATGTTTATATTATTAATCTTTAAAATAGCACATCAACTGCATTCAAAACTTCAGTATGCAGAATTCATAAACATTAAAACCATTCACATCGAACAGTATGTGAAAAATATTTTTCTCGAAACCAATAACAAACGACACTGCTTACTGTAAATACTTGGCAACACTATGCCACTGTCCAGCTTCAGGTGTTTTTCGATCTTCAATTCCAATGACTATTTCCTCCCTTTCCTTCTGCTCATCATCATCATCATCATCATCGCGTGAAAGCGAATCTGGATTATCAAACGTAGCGTCCGCTCCAATTATTTTTCTCCAGTCTACTTTTCGAGCCAATTTCGCTACATAATCTGTATATTCTAGTGGTCTGAAACTTTAAAAGCTGTGAAAAGTGCTTTAATTTCCACCCAATATAATCTCATCCTAATATTCTTTGAGACAATGCCAGAATAGATTTATAGTATGGAAAGTGAAGAGTTTGCTAGTTTCATATTCACTAATTTGCTTAGAATGATACGTGACTGAGGACCAGAGATAACAAAGTATGGTTATAAGATCACTTTCACATAGTACCGTGCAAGCACGAACTTTAACTTTAACTT